TGTTCCTTTCCTAGGTTCTGTCATTCTTCTTTTGTGGACAGTCTTTTGCCCTGTGCTCAAATGATCCACAAACAAAGCAACCTTGATTATTAAAAGATTGCAAATTCTTTTTACCTTGTGTGTTTCTATTTTTCTTGAAACGTCGATAATTTTTTTTGAACTACTTATCAAACATGCTCATTTTGTCCTCAGATTCACTCTCGATCAGATTTTGCTCCTTTTTCACGCGCCTTTAGATGAGATTCTTCTCCTTTTTGGAGATTGGAGAAGAAGTGCTCTGATGCCGACTAAAATGAACGAGAACTAAAGTCACATTTTAGGAAAAATAAAAAAGAGTCATACTTTTGGAAATGAAAAGTCAATTACTAATAACCGGGCCATTTTTTCTTCTTTCTCTTCTCATTGAGCTCCACGGTTTTGAGAAATACTCCGTTATATCTACTCAATATATTAACAAAATATAAATAATGAATAAAAATGTGATTTACCTATTATTTCGAATCGATAATAAGTTATATGAAGGATGATTAAGTTTCTAACTAGCCAATAATGTAATCTAATCATATTTTCGCCACAGCATCAAACTTGATTTTTTTTTTCTTATTTGACCACTCAAATTTTTATCACTGTATTTTGATGTAACAAATTTACCATTATTTTATGCTCCATTCTAAACAAATATAACTGTCATTTTTTATTTAGTTATTTGAGATACCTCTCAACATAACCAGTTCACCACTTTTTTTAGAACACAACATCAAATTTTCAAGTACGAAGAAGTATGAGCCTATTTAGTGACACTGTCACACTGGGGTTATTTTGCCAAGCCAAACCAGCTCAAAATGGGTGGAAATAATTTAATTTCAGTGAATTATTTTTAAAGTGGTTGTGTTTGAACTAGGGATGGATTCGGTTCGGGCCACCCGGCCCGTGACCCGGCCCGGCCCGGTACTGTGCGGGCCCGGGACCGGCCCGGTACTGTGCGGGCCCGGAACCGGCCCGGGACCGGCCCGGTTCGGGCGGTCCGGGACCGGGTATGGGCCCGAACCGGTGGGAAGGGCGGGGCGGGCTCGGTTCAGCATTTTTGTGACCCGGCCCGGCCGGGTCGGGCCCGGGCCCGGGTCCGGTCCAATTTTTTTTAAATTTTTTTTTTGTTTGGGCTCCTACTAGCCGTTGGGGGTGGGGCTGGGGACAACCCAAACGGCTATATAGCCGTTGGGTGGGGTAAAGGGGGGGTCCGGGGGGGTTGGGTGGTGGGGGGTTGGTGGGGGGGGTGGGGGTAAAAAAAAACCTATAAATACTCTTAATCTTAAACATTTTTTCATATCTCTTCTCCAATTCTTCCTATTCTTATCTCTCTACTCTCTAATTCTCTTATTCTCCAATATATTATATATCTACTCTCATATTCTCTTCTCCAAGAAGTTAAAATGCCATTATACTAGGGATGGATTCGGTTCGGGCCACCCGGCCCGTGACCCGGCCCGGCCCGGTACTGTGCGGGCCCGGGACCGGCCCGGTTCGGGCGGTCCGGGACCGGGTATGGGCCCGAACCGGTGGGAAGGGCGGGGCGGGCTCGGTTCAACATTTTTGTGACCCGGCCCGGCCGGGTCGGGCCCAGGCCCGGGTCCGGTCCAATTTTTTTTAATTTTTTTTTTTGTTTGGGCTCCTACTAGCCGTTGGGGGTGGGGCTGGGGACAACCCAAACGGCTATATAGCCGTTGGGTGGGGTAAAGGGGGGGTCCGGGGGGGTTGGGTGGTGGGGGGGTTGGTGGGGGGGTGGGGGTAAAAAAAAACCTATAAATACTCCTAATCTTAAACATTTTTTCATATCTCTTCTCCAATTCTTCCTATTCTTATCTCTCTACTCTCTAATTCTCTTATTCTCCAATATATTATATATCTTCTCTCATATTCTCTTCTCCAAGAAGTTAAAATGCCATTATACGGTATAATTTTGATAAGCAGAAGGACCCGAAGACCGGGATGTGGTACGCAATTTGCAAATGGTGCGAAAAAAAATGTATAATGGGGGCTTCAGGCGGATTCGGGATGACAATCAAGCATATGAAGTCATGTGACAAAGCCAAAGGATCGGGAGGTGCATGAAGTTCCGATTGATTACAATTTTCAAAATGTTTATCTCTTATATGTAGTTCCTATTTCATTTCAAATAAATGCAATTGAAGTTTGTTTTTAATACTCGTATAAAACTATAAACTATAAATATAAATTATAAAAAAAAAAATAACCTGGCCCGGCCCGAACCGGACCCGACCCGTGACCCGGGCGGGTGGCCCGGCCCGAACCGGACCCGTCCAACCCGCGGGCCGGTCCCGGGCCCACTTTTCTTGAACCGGCGGCCCGACCCGGGCCCGACCCGGCCCGAATCCATCACTAGTTTGAACACACTTAAAGGTGAACCTGAAATGAGTAAGCTGAATTGAAACTTTATACGGAGGAGTTTTTTCCCATGGAGGGGTGTTTTTCAAACTTATTTCCCAAAGTAAGGTACTTTTAAACTTATTTCCCAAATAGGGGTATTTTTTGCCATGTCACCTCAGTATCACTGCTGGGCGCCACATAAGCTTATCCACATCATCCCATCAATTCCATGTCATCAATTTTGAGAGTTTAGCTGCTTCTAAAATATAGAAAAAAATTGAAGCCAACAGGATTCAAACCTGGGTGGAACACAAGAAAGGCATGTATGTAAACCACTACACTACACCATTCACTTGTTAACACATGCCTTTTAAGAAGTATAAATCATGTATCCTTCACCCCGGGAGTGCACTATTTCTTAATCGCATAAAAAACTTATAAAATAAAATAAAATATAAGTAAAAATAAAATATCGTATAAAAAACTTATAAAATAAAAGAAAATATAAGTAAATTTCATGCTAGTCCACTTTAAATTCTATAAAAGGTTTAATATTAATGTAAAATATCGTATAAATTTTTCTTTATGAAAATTCTCTAACAGCTCAATTTTGTTTAGCCTCAGCTCTACTCCGCCTCGGAACCAAGCATTTTTCGTTGATAAATTTATCAAGTTTTTTCTTTCTTAGATAAATATTATATGATTTTCTTGACATGAATAGTATCCGATTTTAAATTGGGGTGGGTTAGAGCCTTTCATAACATTTAGTAACAATAAATTTTAATTAAGTCTTTATTTTTAATTATCACAAACCTAGTATTTAATTCTATAAAAATGAACCGAGTCGAGAAGAGTTGAGCTGCTATAACGAAATAATCACAATGAAAAGCTTAGTTTGCGATATTTAATTCTATAAAAATGTAATTTAAATTTATAAAAAAAATTGAAGTTTATAATTTAAAAGTTATTTGAAATAACTCAAAAGTAAATAAAATAAAAAATAAGTAAATTTCATGCAATAAGTAACTTAGAAATATGACTTATATTTTATTTGATTTTATTTCATTTGAAGCTAAGATATTTAAAAAAAATACATATTCCAAATTGTGTTTTTTCATTATAATTAAGTTTAAATTAATTTTTTGTATTCTAAGTTAAATATTTCTTTATTTTTCAAATTAAATTAGCAAATTATGTTTTTATTATAAGTTTTAATAAGATTTTTAATTGAATAACTCAAATTCAGTTTTTTATTATTACATTTTTTATTGTTTGGTAAAGAGATATTTCTGAAGGAACGAATAATACATGTGATTAAGAAATAGTGCACTCCATGGGTGAAGGATACATGATTTATACTTCTTAAAAGACATTTGTTAACAAATGAATGGTGTAGTGTAGTGGTTCACGCACATGCCTCTCTTGTGTTCCACTCAGGTTCGAATCTTGTTGGTTTCATTTTTTTCTATATTTTAGAAAAACACTTAAACTCTCAAAATTGATGACATGGAATTGATGAGATGATGTGGATAAGCTTATGTGGCGCCCAGCAGTGATAATAAGGTGACATGGCAAAAAATACCCCTACTTGGGAAATAAGTTTAAAACTACCTTAGTTTGGGAAATAAGTTTGAAAAATACCCCTCCATGTGAAAAAACTCTTATACGGAGTATCAAATAGTGTCTCTATTCAATGGATGATATGATTCCCAAAGTATACTTGCATACTTGGCCGATGCTTGGCCGATTAAGCTCAAACCTTTGACGGGCAACATCTCACTACCCAGATAAATCAACTCTTCCCGGTGGGCTTAGGGAGGAAATATGAGTAATACATTTCAATTCAAATCCCGATAACTGCGATGAAACATTATTATCTAAAAATGTATAGGGCCTTTATACGTGCTTGAGTCAGAGTCTCACTCACTATCTGACAATTTGTGATTAAAGTCCAATAGACATCCTACTTTTTATCTGTGAGGGATTAACCTGAAGGCGTAGCTCACGGGTATGAAGATGCCAAGAGGGTGGTGCCTCATGGAAATGTCTCAGGTTCAACTCTGAAACAATGATTTGAGATGGAATTCCGCTCTTTTTAAATCAGAATATGATCAAAGCTCAACTTACTTCTCTAAATAACTATCGGTGCATCCATTTTTTCCGTCTGTGGGGAACTATAGATGCGGTAAAATTTTAAGAAACGTATTTTTAGCCGGTGTATGATCGAAAAAAGCGAATGTCCAATTGTCAACAAAAGCGAATGGCTTACTGAAAGTAACACGAGCTCATAATGATTTTTTGGAGTAGAAAGTTAAAATTTATTCATCCACCCTGTATAGTCCTTATTTAATCGGTACATAACATATTCATGCATTTCCAAAAAACATATTCATGCCTAAAAATATCACTGATATATATATATTTCCTTATTTAAGATTATTGTCTAAAATTAAATTTTGAAATGCTATGTAATTTTGAATTAAATTTTGAAATGCTATGTAATTTTGAAAATAACTGTGAGTATGTTATCAAGTTTAAAGACTATTGTTTAGAGCTAGATAAAAGTTAATGAAATTGAAACCTATTGTTCAAAAAATACTCATACCTATGGGAGTCGCGAATAGCAGAGTCGCGAACAAGAAGGGCCCAGAGTCACGGCCGTCAACCCTAGCGCCGCCGTCGCGGCGGCCGCCCTTCCTAACCTTTCTTGGCGTTGCACCAGGTAGCAGGCTCAACAGTCCCAGTCCAGGCTTGCTGTCGTCCAACAACCTGCGCATCGGTGTTCTGCGGCCAATTGCCAGCCGAACGCAGGGGAGGAAGATGCCGCTTGCAGACCCTAGCCGGGCAGTCCAGCCTACGATTCCAGCACCGCCTGGGACCACAGTTTCTCCTACGGGATGCCTTCCAGCAAAGACTGATGCTGCGCTTGTCTTTCCTCGGAAGAGAGCAAGGGCTGGTACAGGGCTGGATTGTGCCGATGAATTGCGAGACCTGCAACTGAACCATCATCCAGATTCCAACTCCAAGCTTTCTACATCGTAAAAACAGCAGCCCCAGTCATTTAGTGCCGCTGTCACCAATCAATACGGCTGGTTTGTGGCTACGGAATAAGAAATTTCCAAGCTACCGCTCCCTGTGCAGCCTACTACTAACGCACACTCCAACTCAAGATGCCAACATATTGTTTTCTCGGTGGAGGAGATACGGGAGCTATACAAACAATGGTCTAAGGCACTGGTAGTGAGGGTTCTTGAAAGAAACTTCTCTTTCCTTGTGGTGAAGAAGCGACTCGAATCTCTTTGGGGAAAGCAAGGAGAAATTCAGGTCTCCGGTATGACCAATTGGTGTTGTGTTGTCCGCTTTGCATCAAAAGATGACTATCTTCGGACAACTTTCGGAGGACCATGGAAGATCTTTGATTACTACTTTGCTATTTAGGCATGGACGCTGGAGTTTAACGTTCATGCACGGGTACAAAATATCTTATCATGGATTAACCTTCCATCATTACCTCTCCATTACTTCCATGAGATGGCTGTTACATGTATTGCGGGTCATGTTGGAAAAGTAATTTGAATTGATGTTGCTACTGCATCGGGTGAGCGGGCACGCTTTGCATGTGCATGTGTGGAGCTTGGCCTTTCCAAACCTCTCCTCGGTACGTATGAACTCGATGGATCAAACATAAAATTGGGTATGAGAGTCTCGAAAACTTATGTGTGAAGTGTGGTAGGTACGGTCATATTGAAAATTTGTGTGCGGAAGCCACACTTCAAACGGAGACAGAGACCACTTCACTTTCGTCTAATATGCCGGAGCAATCTATTGATGACTTGGGGGAGTGGATGATCCCTGGTCGTCACGATCGATGCAAAACAGGCCGGAAAAATGCCACTAGCACGACGGTTGAGACTCCCAACACTACTACGGGCTCTAGATTTGATGTTCTTCTCAGGCATCCTATTGATAATACTCTTTCTCCGACCATTGCTGGCGACACTCTTCCGCAAGCGTCTGGCCTAACGCCTAAGGCTAAAAATAAGAGTAAACCTGCTAAGGCCCGGAAGCAAACTGGAATGCATGTTAAGCCTAGAATACAGCCTTCACCTCCTGCGGACAAACAATCCCACTTTCGCCTAATGTGAAACCTTCCTCTGAACCTGATCCCATTTCATCTTCCGTGCCAACTCCTATGTCGAATCCTGCTCGTAGGAAGGGCCGCCCATGGAAGAATGCTCAGAATTCAGAGAAGATGGATGACTTTTCTGGTACGTTAGCACACGCATGGCAGAAGACATTTCCTGCTAATACCCCACTACCCAAACTTCCTCAACCAGATAGTTCGGTGCCTCTTTCATACTTAAATGGGGGTCCCTTGTTGATGGCATGTTTGGTAAGTCTACGGCTTCTACTGCCACAACTTCAACAACCATGGATGCTCACATGCATACCTCAAACATAATGGCTCCAGACATATCCTCGACACCGCTGCCAGTATGTATTGATTCATCTACTTCTGATTTGATGTCTGTAACCCCTGGGAATGCTCAAGGGGAGCGCCCCATGGATACCTCCTCTTAACCAGGGAAGACCTTTACATATTTTTTAATGATGTGTACAATATTTACTTAAAATTGTCGTGGGGCAAAGCATGATGATTTTCTTCCCAGTTTTAGAAATTATATGTCTCCTTATCGACCGTAGATTGTTGTTATCGTTGAACCTCGTATTAGCAGAGTCATTGGCCAGTGTATTACTAATCAACTTGGTTTTGATGGCAGAATTATCTCGGAAGCTCGTGGTTTTTTTGGGGGTATCTGGTTTCTTTGGAACTCATCACTAGTCACGGTGGAAGAAAGGGCAATCACTAATCAAACTGTTCATGTGAGTGTGACAGCTCATGATGGTAGCTAATTTGCCTTCACAGTTGTTTACGCTTGTCCACAACCTTTGGGAGTTGGGATGCACTTTTCTCTGGGACACCCTCCGAGTGATTGCACAAACTTAAACATTACCATGGGTAGCAATAGAGGATTTTAACGTCGTCCTTTCAGCAGAGGAGAAGATTGGAGGTGCAGAGTTTGACCCGACTCGTGCGACACCTTTCGGAATTGCATCGATTTTTGTCGCCTCATGGACTTGGGTTTCACTGGCCCCGGATTCACCTGGTATCGTGGGTCCCTTTGTGAATGGTTGGATCGGGCGTTGGGTTCTCAGAACTGGCTCACTCATTTCCCGCACTCCTTGGTAGTTCATCGCCCTATCTTGCTGTCCACTTCTGGTATAACCCCGTCTCACACTGGTAAACATCCATTTCGGTTTCTTGCTCCTTGGCTATCGCATGAAGATTTTCCACGGGTCCTTGCATCCTCTTGGCGGAGAGACATGCCGCTACATAATGCACTTCACTCTCTGGGTGGGAAGCTTCAACGATGGAACAGAGATGTGTTTGGTTTCATTCATATCCAGAAAGTGACATTGATTCAGCAATTGTCCGAGTTAGAAGACTTTAATTGTGTCGAGTTCTTCACCGGTCATTTTCCATGGAGTGGACGACTTCTTGGATGATGATGATGTTGTCAGTGATGTGTCACCCAGGGACAAAACTGGATTGTGTGGGGTGGACCCAACCCCGCATGTGATGCTTCAAACGGGAAGTGAGAAGCTGAGTAATAACTTTATAAGCAACATTACAAAGACTAATTGGCCGAAATTGCTTCATTGACTCCGGTCATGTCGTACAAAGTCCTCCTCATCTTGAAACTTAAAAATTATCCAACCCTTATTATGAGACCGTACAAGACATTTTACACCCCATGTAGCTTTCAAATCATGGACCGCTTTGAGTCCGGGAAATTTTCCCATGAAGTGTCCCACTAGACAGTAACCCCACATTTCAACCATCGAAGGTAGTACTCGGTCACCAAAGTCCAGTGTTTCGCCTTTAGGTGGAACATATCTCAACTTAATCCCATTTTTTGGATCGCGGTTGTCTTTAAACAAGGAGTTCCAAAAAGGTTTAGATCCTAGATTTACTGCCAATTCCTGGATTTTAGATGCAGCTACTTTGTTCCCAGCAGTGCCTTTGCCCTTGTTTAGCTCAGTAGCAGGTTCACTGCTAGCAGCATTAAAAGAGGGCTGAGGATGGTGATGTCAGCTTGGCTCCTGAACTGTTAACGGAGTTTGAGGATAACGAGGATGATGATGAAGGGAATGAGGAAGTAGCTTAATTTCCTTGTTGTCATACTTCTCAAAAGATACTCTCTTTTGCCCAAGTGTCGATTACCTTATGTGGGTTTTCTATACTTGTAATTTTCAGACTTTTATTGCACTTTTCTTACTTGTTTCGTACGCCACGCCCATCAACTTTTTCTTTGCCCCGTTTAACCCTACTGGCCGACACAATATAAGCCATGTTGTCTTCACAAACCTTTTTGTAATCATCTTATTTAACAAATTCGTTCGGCATGGCTAAAGACATGTTATCCTCTTCAGGAATTCCTTGCTTAAAGATGTCGTTCGACATGTCATATTTCCCATGGACCCCGCAAGCATTCACCTTCACCATGCATATTCATGATTTTGGCAAAATTTAAGTTACACTGACTTCACAACCTTTCCCTTGAAGGTAATGCTCAGGTATGTCGCTCGACAAGACCGGAGATTTTCTTAATTTCGATGCGCGTGACAACATATTCTTTGATGATTGGCCTTTGGAGCGGTGGTGCCTATAAATATGGGAAATGAAATTCTTTCTCATAAATATGCCCATTCCTCTTCATATTAGGCAACGGAAATGTGCACTTTTCTCTCTCTAGAGCCCATGTTCTTTGGTATTGTTTCAGCCGTTTTAGTTTAAGTCTTCGATTAGTGCCATCTGACCATGTCTCATACTGGGTTCACCTGTTTCTTTGGAAATGGAGGATATCGCCCTGGTTCATAAGGTTGATCATGCAGGAATGTCATCTGTAATGGGTGTTTGTTGGTCCCGGTTAAGCAAGGCTGTTAGAGATATTTTTTATTGTGATCCATTGTATTTTATAAAGCCTAGTAGAATAATTTATTAGATAAGCTATTTTAGGTAAAGGCCACATTCCTAAAGGGAATGGGCCTCTTTATTATGGAAGCCCAATGCTTGTAACCTAGCATTCTACAAAGGGTTATAAATAGACCCTATGTAGAATGCGTAGGAGAGGTTTTGGTTCAAACGTAGAAGAGCTTTCCCGATCATTAGTTTTACGCATAGAATAGGCTACAAAGGTTTTACGCTAACATTCTTCAACATCATTCTGTAAACTCCTAGCCATCAATGAAAGCTTCCATTACACCAATACACATCCATCTTCATACACATTATGTAGTGTAGATCATCGGGGACCAACAAGTGGTATCAGAGCGGGCTGATCGACCGGTTGTAGCGAAGAAGAAGAAGCTTGCGCCAAACTTCATCGCATGTTTCTTCCCATGAGCGATTCATATATTATTGTTGTTTGATGATTTTGCAGAAAAATGTTTGAAGGATTATGTTTCTGTAACTGCTAGGATCATTCTCTGTAATTTTTCTCAGCAATATCATCGGCATACATGTCAACAGAGGAAGAGCGATTCTGCACTTTAGCGCATCTCGCTGAGGAAGAAATAGTTTTAAGGCTTCATGCGCGAATCTCTTTCCTGCGTGATAGAGGTTGTACGTGAAACTTAAGCCTATTTTTACTCCTTGCGCCAAAGTGCTCTGCGCCAAAGTCTCGTGCGCCATTCTCAAAGCTCTGTGCGCTATTTTCAAAGTCTCAGTGCGCCATTCGCTATCCGTGCGCCATTCGTTAGAACAAACTCTCCGTGCGCCATTCGCTAGAACAAACTCTCCGTGCGCCATTTGCTAAAGAATCGTGCACCATTTACACAGCCGTGCACCATTCTTATACGCGCCATTCTCTGTGTGCGAGATTTGTAGCCGTGCGCAATTCTAAGTGCTGAGACATTCTGTTGTGCGTTATTCTCTATGCAAAATTTTCAAATAGGTGAAGCTACCATTATATGAACCTTCTGCTCAAAGAACTCTACAAACTAAGACAGACTTTAAACAATCAACAGATCAGCTCGATCCAAAAGATGGATGCTCTTTCAATTGGAAACGACACTAGACCCCCAATCCTAAGAAAAGGTGAGTACAATGTTTGGAAGAACAGGTTCCTTAACTTTCTCGAAAGCAAAGATCAATCCTCTGGTTTACTGGATTCTATCACTAATGGACCTGCTCAGTTACAGATTGCTATTGAGAGAAATGAAGTTAACAACCCAGCTATGGAAGTTGAATTGCGACCAAAAACCGTGGATGAATATGACGACGAAGACAGAGCTAGACTGCGTGCTGACTTGCTGGCTAAGACCTATCTTCTTCAGGCTATACCAAATGACATCTATATGCAGATTAATAGCATGTCAATTGCAAAAGAGATGTGGGACGAAATTTTCAAGATCATGCAAGGAACTGAGATAGGCGTCAAAGCCAAGAAAGCAAACACCTTCACTGCTTATGATTCTTTTAAAGCTAAACTCGGAGAATCACTTGAAGATACTTACCTCAGATTTCTTCAGCTAATTAATGAAATGAGGAAGATTGGAGTTCACAAGTCAAACATGGAACTGAATGTGATATTTTTGTCAGCTCTAGGACATGATTGGAAGAAACTATGCTCTCAGATAAGACACCAAAGATCTGGATGATATGGACATTCATGCTGTGTACAATACCCTTGATCAGTATGCTGAAGATTTTTCTGATTATGTACACACTACCGTGATGGCCGAAAAAGGAAAAGATGTAGTTGACAAGCTGGCGGATACACTTGCTGTAACACCCCGGCCCCGTAGGCCCCGAGGTAGTTACTTCTGACCTCTAGTACTGTCCTCACAAACCGCCACTAGCCTTTTCCGCGTACTTTGTCCTCACTCGTGTGCGCCATGAGAAACTTCCCAGGGGGTCACTCATCCCAAGACTACTCCCGTGCAAGCACACTTAACTTTGGAGTTCTTGGCTAATGAGCTCCCTTATAAGGAGATGCACCTTGTTGATATGAGTAGTACTATTAATCCTCTTAAATTAATCTCGGGTATTACAATCACCCCCACTTAGGATCGCAACGTCCTCGTTGCCCCCTTAAACGAATCTCAATCAAACCCCAGAATCTTGCCCAACTAAGTGCCCGCCCGATATCCAACGGGTCAGTACACTGTCGCAGGGTTGCTCTGATACCATTTGTAACACCCCGGCCCCGTAGGCCCCAGAGGTAGTTACTTCTGACCTCTAGTACTGTCCTCACAAACCGCCACTAGCCTTTTCCGCGCACTTTGTCCTCACTCGTGCGCGCCATGAGAAACTTCCCAGGGGGTCACCCATCCCAAGACTACTCCCGTGCAAGCACGCTTAACTTTGGAGTTCTTGGCTAATGAGCTCCCTTAAAAGGAGATGCACCTTGTTGGTATGAGTAGTACTATTAATCCTCTTAAATTAATCTCGGGTATTACACTTGCACTTATGCTTGATAAACCTTTCAAATCCGGATCTAAGAAAGATAAAATGAAGATTGAAGAAAGTGAGAGTGCTGATAGTGATATCGGGTTCTGGGATGAGACTGAAAGTGATGATGAGCTTCGTGACTTTCAAAAGCAGATAGCACTTCTTACTTCAAGGTTCAACAATCAAATATTGAAAAAGAAGAACTCCTCAAATAACAAGCTCCGCAAAACTTCAACCAGCAACAACAAGAGAAAAGAATGTTCATTTGAATCTTCTGAGACTGGAAATGCTGAGGATGCTCCAAAGTGCTTCAATTGTGGGAAGACTGGACATCTGATGAAGGATTGCAGGATGCCAAAAAGGAGGAAACATGCTGAATATTACAAGCAGAAAATCAATCTGAACAAGAAGAAAATGCTACTGGCCATAGAAGAAGGGAGTGATAAAAACGCTCTCATGGCAGAGAAGGACCATTGGATGGATGATTCTGATGAGGAAGAAAATCTAGCTTTAATGGCTATTGTTGAAAATGAAGAAGAGCAGACCAGTGTTGCTGATAAAGATGTAGAAAAGACAAATTCTTCTGTTGCTGATTCTGTGGTTTCTCTCACTGCAGAAAATGTGGACGCAAACCGTGAAGTAAGTACCTCTAATCCTTTTGTTTATTCTTGCTCTAGAACTGACACACACGACAAAATTAAGGAGCTAGAAGAGAAATTTGATAGAGCCTATGGTATGTATAACAAATTGAGAGAAAAGCAGACTTGCTGTAACATTAAAATAATCAATTCAGAGAAAATAATTGCTAAGCTCACAGCCGAGAACAAAAGATTGAGTGATAGTGAAAAGGAACTTAAGGAGAAACTCAGAGTCTCTGAAAAGGAAAGAATCAAGTTTTTTGGTGAAAAGAATTTACTCAAAGAAAGAAGGGGTGCTCTTTATTCCAAAATTAAAGAACTCGAAGACCTGTTAGCTAAAAGGGTTCAAACTGACCAGACCATTTTCCTTAACCAGCCTAAGGACACTCGTTTCTACAACTCCAAGGAGGGTCTAGGTTTGACTAATGCTCAGAACTTGAAAAAGGTGGATTGTATTCAACTCTATGATATGAAATACATGAGATTAGGATTAACCAAACTTATGGCCTTCACTGGAGCTGAAGAAACGAATGCCATCGAGGATGAAAAGAGAAAGAACAAGTCCGGTACCGAGATCCCTTTTAACTACACAGAATTGAACAAAAGTTACCAAACCAAAGAACCCCTTTTAACTCCTGCTGATGAAATCTTGACCTACCCTCCCGAGAAGGAAACTGTGAAAGAAAGAGAGGAACCTTCCACCTCAGAACCTGTAGTCAAACCA